TTTTTTTAAAGATTTATTTATTTATGGGGTATAGGCCAGAGATGTGGGGGTGGGGTGGGGTGGGAGAGGATTCACCAGAGACAGAGCAGGGGGCAGAACAGGTAGATCTACTGAAACACACTGCTGAGAGGAGCAGCAGGTGACAGGAGAGGGCTGCCATATGTGGGTCACCTTCCTGACTGGGTATCAAACTCACGCTGCAGTGGCTGCGGATAGCTTCATAGTGCTGAGACCTTAACTCTTTGCCCTATCAATAATTCATTTGTTAGTATTCTATTGGAAAGAAGCACAATTCATTCACCTGTTGGACATTTATGTTTTTTAGTATTGTAAAAAGTTGCTGTAAATATTGTACAAGTTTTTCGTGAATGTTCCCATTTCTTTTGGGTAGTGGTACCTTAGTACCACTTAATGTCATTTTTACTTGGTTTTGGTGTGAAGGTAATGCTGGTACCATAAAATGAGCTGCGAAGTGTTTTCCAATTTTGGAGGGAAGCATTTGTGTAGAATTGTTATTTCTCCCTTATTCGGCAGAACTCTGTGAAGGCACATACATTTGAAGTTTTCTTTGTGGAAAGGTTTTTAACTACAATTCCAGTTTCTTGTACATAGGACTATACAGGTTAAATATTTTATCTGGAGTTAGCATTAGTAATTTGGGTCTTCTAAAGAATTTGTCCATTTCAACTAAGTTGTTGAATTTGTTGCCATGAGGTTCTTCATAATATCCCTGTTATCCTGAACCCTCCTTGGAGGTGCAACAGGTTAAGCGAAGTGTTATGAAGCTGTCCACAGCCACTGCAACTTGAGTTCGATTCCCAGTCAGGGAGGTGACTCACATGGCACAGCAGACCTCTGACCAGTCTGCTGTACCCTTCACCAGTGTATTTCACTAGATCTGCCTATTCTGCTCCCCATTCTGTCTCTGGTGAATCCTCTAACCCCCCATACACATCTGTACCTGTACCTCAGTTCTTGTATGCATAAATAAACAAATCTTTAAAAAAAAATCCCTGTTATCCTTTTAATATTTGTGGAGCCTGTCAAGAGGTTCAGGAAAGTCACAAATGATTACCAGAAAAACATAAAGGGGGAAAAATATGGCATGCAGGGAAATCAAAGTTTCAACAAAGCATATTAAGCATTAGAGATAAGGTATCACAACAGGGCAAGGTCCATTTTAAGAAATTAAAATCCAGAAACCCAGAGAATTAATTTGG